TAAAAAAAAAAAAAAGCTAAAACAAGCAGAAAGACTCAGATTTGCTCGTGCAGGAGAGGGAGCAAGTTTATCTGATTAATGCCAAGATCATGCTGCCATTTAACAAAGGACCTGATTGACCTCTGAGTGTACCTTTAAGTTTATAATAAGAGGCTGCTTAGCATCACGAAGAAACAGCCACGGTTCACAATCCTGCCTCCTTTCTCTCCGGCAGTTGACTTTTCTGAGCTCTGGTTGGTTGCGAGTAAGAAGGCCAATCTCGTGGTCCGCTTGTGAGGCTTAAAGGTGCTAATCTGTTTACAAAGCTTGGCACATACTGGGCTCTAAACAAATATTTGCCCTTTTTTCTTTGTCAGTCAAATACAACACTATGCTTTATGACCAGGAAAGGTTACGCTTTATTGTCTCCGTTTTAAGATGAAATATAACACACAATTAAAAGGTTGAGTGTATGAGGAAGTAACCTTTGCTTTGGCTGCTCGGCCGTTCTCCTCGGACAGGCTCAGGTGGTTTAAAGAAGGGTCAGAAATGGTTCCAGACCTTTGGCCTCCACCTTTCCTGAACGCCACCCACTGTGCTAAGTGGACCCGGCGCAGTAATTGCCCTTCGGAATCGGTCCCAGAAACAGCGCAGCAGAGGGACGGCCTGGGCTAGGGGCGGCTCTGCCGGGAAGCCAGAGAGCCTAAGCTTCAGAGACCCTCCCCTGCACAAGTCCCTTCTGAGGCCTGCATCTCATTTGTGTTTGTAATTCACATTCTTCTTAAAGAGGGCCCTTCAAATTAGATAACCTTCGGGCCCCAGAAAACCTGGATCTGCTCTGACTGGACGGTCAGGTGAAAGGGAAACATTTCAATACAATTTTAAAAGGATGGGTTGGCCAATAGCAGAAAAAGTGAGTTTGGTCCAGATTGACCAAATAATGATATGTGAGTAACCCTTGACCGCAGATGCTCTTATGCCCTTAACCACAAGCTGGCCCTTACCTACCTAGGAAGGTGTTCTCTAGCTCAGCACCTGCCTAGGAATTACCAACGTGAGCATGTGAGGAAGGGGAGCACCTGGCAGTCAGGAGGTGTGCAGCTACATTGCCCAGATATTTGGTTTCTCATATTTTTAGGTGGGTAAAGGGGGAGAGTTGGGAACCAATATTGTGTTGACCTGACTCAGTATGTGCCAAACAATGGGTTAAGCACCATAGATGTATGATCACATTTTTATTCTCATGTTAAATAAAATCATCAAAACTGGGACTTGGGAGAGGTCAAGTAACTTTTTTTATAAAGCTAGTAGAGCCAGAATTTAAACAGAGGGCTTCTTAGTGTCAAAACCCAGGTCCCTTCAACCTCCCTATGTGGCTGAGACTTACCTGCCGAGAATCATCAGCCACTGGGAGGGAATGGACATTGAACCTACAGTCAGCCTAATGATTTTAAATACCTAGCATCCAGCCAGAAACTTAGTACACTTTTCTTTCTTGGTTCATTCCCTTATCATGTATTAAGTGCCTGCGGTGTGCCAGTCACTTTGCTGTCTTCTGCTCAGTTATTATTTCTTCAATATTGTCACCACCACCTAGAAGCTGCCCAGATGGGTAGATAGGTAGATAAATACACAAATAGGTAGATAAGTTGGCAGGTAGGTAGATAGATACACAGATACACAAATATGTATATTGCTCAAATGAAACTTTCACCATTACTATAATTAATATATTTGGTTATTTTAAAAGCAGCCTCAGAAGTCCTTTTAAAATTCATATTGCTCCTTTAAATCAAAGTTTAAAATTTTAGTTATTTAATTGCTAAAACTAAAATACTGCATGTGATTTGGAATTGGCAACTTCAAAATTTTTATTTTCAAAACTTGGAAAACAAGGTTATAATTTGATAATTTTCTTTACCTCTCAATCTTTTAATTTCTCTTTTTAACTTAAAGATCTCCTTTTCCTGGATGATTTCATCCCACTTCCATAATCGTTGTCCAGTTTTTGAAAAGTATAATTATAACTGCAGCGCTACGGAAGATTAGAGAGCTACCCTGTGTATCGGGGAAGGAGGGCATTATTTCAAGTGAAATATGTAAAGTTGCGGGCCATGGCCAAGGCCTAACAGAAGAGTCAGGCGACCACTGGAGGATTTGACTCGTGTTAACTGTGAAGTTCCCAGTTGCACATAAATATTCACTGAACACTAGTCGCAAAGCAAAGTCATAGGTAGAAACTGTGAATTGTCAAAATGGTATTGGGAACATTTTAAATAAGTTTTCTAAACAAAGATATATATATATATGATTAAAAACTTATGTATGACTTGAACATAGTAAGTGCCTACTCTGTAGTGAAATGAGACTGTTTTTAGTTGGTCCTGTTTCAATCACATGAGAGCTGGACAGTGTTACCAAACCTTTTTTTTTTTTTTAATGAAATACTAAGTTCTCTTTCATGAATACTCACCTAAGAAACTAAGTGTGCACATACTGGAATGAAAGATGGCTCCAGTTTATGAGTCATGAGGATTCTGTGTCAAGCATTCAGTTATATCTCAAAGAGAAAAATCTTGGTTATAACAGCCTCAGTGCTTGAGACAGTGCCTACCACATTGGGTATACGGTGAACTATTCAAGAATAAAATCCTTGTTACATTAAGGGTGAAATTGTGTTTACATGTAACTTGATGGCAACAATTGAGGAAGGTACTTGATTGCACAAACAGAATTATGCAAACAGTTCTATAAACATATTTGCAAATGATATTAGAGTTGGAGACGAAAATGGAATTGTGACTACACTTATAGCTCCTATCATTTCCTTCCTCCAAAAGAGCCTCTGTTCCTTGATATTTATTCGTGAAAGATTGTACATAATCCTTGCTTTTAAGAAATACTCAGCTCCTCTTATTCCCCAAGTCCCCTGTTCTTGGTCATCATAGCATAAATAAAATCCACTTTTGCAGCATTTTTAATGCCTCCTAACCAGTGAGTTAGGTGTATGTCTAGAAAGATATGTGAGTTTTCTTTGGGATGCATTAGTTTATATATTAGCCAGAATCAGCCAACAGTATGAGTACCTGAAATGTTACTGAGCTGTGCACACATGAAGTATTTGACACAAACATGATCTTGGAGAATAAAATTACAAGCAAATTGGCATCCTCAGGAATGCTATGTAAGGCTAATAGATTGGAGAAACTTTAAAGTTCTGTAACATTTGCCAGTTTTACTTGTTCAAAATGTTAATAGCCTTTCCTTCCCTTTCCCTCTTTTGCGGACACAGATCCACATCCAGAGAACTGAAGGATGTGATCATATGACCTGTTCACAATGTAACACTAATTTTTGTTATCGATGTGGGGAGAGATACCGCCAGCTCCGTTTCTTTGGAGACCACACATCAAACCTCAGTATATTTGGATGCAAATATCGCTACCTCCCAGAGAGACCTCATCTAAGGAGATTAGTGCGAGGGTCGGTCTGTGGTGAGTATCTGACGTGACTTCGAGGGATCTTCCCTGGGAAGTAAGCAGGGACAGTGGAACTTAGACATGGAATAGCCGCCGTAAGGCTGACCACCTGCCAGGTATTCTAGTGGGGCTTCACCCGCAAACGGAGGGAGGTGCTCTCTCTCCCTTTGAGTTTAAAATTAAAAACTTTGTTGTCAGAATCATACTTACATGAGCAAGCAGATTTTGTTCAAAAAAGAAATTATTAGTTACTCTGCAGAAATGTGAAGTCATTAATCTTTTACATTTCTGAAACCCTATGGTAAGGCACTTGAGAGAAACCATGTGACATTTATTTTTACATTGACAATATCTAGCAGCAGACCTTACACATGCCCTCTCTTTGTTCATGGAACATATGCCAGACAATAAAAAGCCATGTTTCAGAGCCCTGTCATGGAGTCCCATTCTGTCTATATAGTTGATGAGTCAATTGTAAAGATATTCTATTGTAATAATAGTTGATATTAATAGCTAACGATTAATGTCCTGGGTATCAAACGCCCTCAGAACATACAAACCCAAGTTTAGAGATCCACGTGCAGTGCTTTCTGGATTGGCTCGTTTCCCCCTCCTCATCCTCAGCAACACAGTATCATACCCAAGTGTGCAGACGCAAGCACGGATTCCTGCTCTGGCCTCCTGCCCCGCCTCTGCGAGAGGCAGTGTCCTTCAGACCTAGTAGTTGTTTCAGTAGCACCGTACGCCGCTGGAGTGTGCCCACGGTGGGATTTCTGCCTCTTTTCATCACAGAGAACTCTATTATATAGTCTTACTGTGGTAGTCCTTCCCACATATATGCAATACTTTTTAACACCTTCCACATTTCCCTTTTTCTACCTCCTCTGGCCTAGTTACTTCATGAAAATCTCCCTATATCGCTCTGTAGCCCTCCATCACTGCTATAGTAAACCACTCCCCTCTCCAGAATCATATGATGGTTAGTCAGACCAAAGCTGGGGCTGATGGCGTATTCCTATCAGGTAAAAGAGATAGGAATTTTAGAATTCACCTTAACTTATGGAGACCAGTGCCATCATTTTCTAAAATCTTATACAGTCTCTGTAAAAATGTCCTTACTGAAATTTAAACATAATTTTCCAAAGCCAGTAGAATTCAGTATAGTAAAGATTTGGTTTTAATTATTTTGAGTGATTTTCTTTATTTGCTTATAATGGTATATACTATAATTATATACTATAACAATATTTACTTATTAGTTAAATAGACTTAGGAGGGAGAGCCAGGGACTCCAATCCCTACTTATAACAGTAATACCATGAGAAAACGAATTGCAAATTAAGTTTTGAGCTGTAACCTATTTGTAAGCCTATATATACAGAGAACAACCTAAAAACACAAAAATCCAAATTTTTCTGCCTTGTTAGTTATTTTCTCTCCTAATTCAATGCTATTTTTGTGACAGGATACTTCCTTCCATTCACTAGAACCCTCTTCGCAGGTCATACTAGAGCCCAGCTCCTTAGCCTGTAGAATGGACAGCCCCTAGGCATCGTCAGCGGGAAATGTTTTCTCTGTACTTTCCTTTCTGTTTTTATTTAAAATTGTTATGGCCAGCTTTCCGTCGGTGGTTTTCTTTGAGGCCTGTTTCCCCCTCTGTGTGTGTATGTACATGTCAGAACAGACCTGGCAGAGGAGGGAGCAGGCGGTGTGAAGATCCGCTCTCCCTGCCACATGTGGCTCCCCACCTCGGCGGCCCCTCTCATCCTGCTGGACCGCAGCTCTCAGTGGGGTGAGGGATTCTCGCTTCCCCGTCTGCACAGAAGGCAGGAAAGGGTTACTCTGGCAGTCACCAACTTACCTTTGCCCTGCCGTATAGGAGGGAAGATGGACTGGTCATAGCAAGGCCCTCCCACCCTCTGTTCTTGTGGGATGTAACCCAGTTTGCTCCCTCCGTTTGGGGCCACAGCCTCCAGATGTTCTTGGACAGAGGCAGAGAGGGGACCTGCTCTTCTCTCTCAGCTGGAGGCTGGGAACCGGGGTCTATATTATGTATGGCCACATGCCCAGCCACAGATCAGAGCTTCTGGTTCTAGGGAACAGTGGACACCAGAGATTTGGGGACGATTAGCAGCCTCTCCCAGGAAGCATCTCCCTGGTAAAGAGTAGGCAGATTATTCAATTAATGGTTTGGGGAATAAAAGTGAGGAAAAATGCTTCATTCTCATATTATTCCATGCAGATATTCAAAGCATTAAATTAAAGCATATAATGGCAAAGAAAATATAGATATTTAATTGATTTCTAGATTGCAAATAATTTATATGAACAAAAACAACGGCACCCCCTCCGGTAATATTTATTTTTTTAAAAAGAACAGAGACGTCTGGAACTAGAATTGAAGACACAGAAATAGACAATAAACATGTTTAAAAATATGCAATGTCATTAGGAGTCAGAGACATGTCATTTAACATGAAATAAGTATTTTTACTATTGCTTAGCAAATATTTTGTCAAGTTAATAATGCTGGACTTTTGTACTCTACTGAATAAATTGAAAATTTTGTGCAATTCTTTTGCAAGGAAATTTGATAGTAATGCGAAGGACATTTGAAAATGTTGTATCTAGATAGGCCAACAATGGTATTTGCAAGTATAATTTAAAATAGCAAGAAAGGGGGGAAATTAAGTATAAGAATAAATAAGATATCATAAATGGATATGATAAAGTATTAACTATTGAGAATGGTATTTTAAAAGAATTGTTAATGATCTAGGAATAAAAGAGTGTATGCTAATCCCTCAAGACAGTTTCAAAAGTAGACTTAAACATGTATTTATTGCATGATTGGAATAAGTTTATTACTTCCAGTGAGAGAAAGCACGTATCTGGGACTTGGAGTTCCATAATGTTTGGAAAAGAATCAGTGCTGTCACTTTGCTGTCATGTTTCATTTCTATTATGAAAATATACTAATAATTATTTTAAAAGGAAGCATGAATGAACATACTGAGGAACATGTACAGAAAAGAGACAAGACAAGTTCTTTTAAAACATGCAAGCCAGTATAGTCTAACCAGTTTAGCATAGCTTTAAGAATGTACAGAATGTAATTTCTCAATGGAATTCAGTATTACTTAATTGGATTCTGTCATTGGTGAAAATTACAAGTAAAACGCAGGGTTAGACATTGTGTCGAGTGGCAATTTTTTTTAAGGCTATTCTTTAAAAATATACATATATATATATATATCTGTGTTTTTATTGATTTCAGAGAGAGGAAGGGAAAGGGAGAGAGAGAGAAACATCAGTGATGAGAGAGAGTCATCGATCGGCCGCCTCCTGCACGCCCCCCACTGGGGATCCAGCCCGCAACCCCGCATGTGCCCTGACCGGGAATCGAAGCGTGACCTTCTGGTTCATAGGTCGATGCTCAACCACTGAACGATGCCAGCCAGACAATCTTTTTCAATTAGATGTTAAAAACTGTATTTTCTCTCTCTCTGATTATGGTTTCCAAAGACCATTTCTTAGGAATAAAAACACTGACTTTTTTTTCTGGCTCCATTATGTTTCTGTTATTCTTACATAATTGGTTATTCCAAGTCACTGCCCTTTATTTGCAGAACAGTATTGCTGGTTTATCTTACACACCTAAGTGGTTCCACTGCAGAGCCCCCCATTCCCCCTCACGCGCCTCGTGTCTGGGCTCTGCAGCCACCCTGCTGCCCACGTGCCTTAAGATCAAGATTACGACACGACAGGATACTAACTGTTAGGCTCCTGGGAGTGAGCCAGTGCCTTTCAAAGTTAGTGCGATGCTGACTGTGAGCTTTGTGCTGTGTTTGCATATAAATAGAGTTTATTATAATAAGTGCTCCATTATTTATTTAGGGGGAAAAAAGCTGATTAATGCCTTTTGGGATCCTTGTCAGCATTTAGCCTTAGCACTTATAGAGTGCTTCCTTTTTAAACGTGTTAACATTATATACTTGAATAACTTTCAGTGTATTCTATGTTTATTGGTAGTTTTCTCTAACAGTAATGAAAATGACACATCTCATTTGTAGTTGCTTATTAAGTGTTCATGTTGTTAGTTTTCTTTGGACTTTTCCAGATGTGAGCTTGGGCAAAAGCCCTCGACAGCACCTACCAGCTTTCCATTTTGTGAGCTAATTATATATTTTGAGACACAGCTCAGAATGTGTCACTCCTTTCTTAATCTTTCAGAATCTTGAAAATTGAGCATGGAAGAGATCTAAAAGAAAAGCACAAAGATGACTGGTCCTGGTAGAATAAAGTGAGCCAGTAGCTTTGGAATTTTTTTGCTTATAAAGGATAAATGATTTATAAGATGTTTGACAGATGTGCCCAAGACTTCAGTGAAGTTACTAAACCTACATATGTATATAATTGTTCTACACCTGATACATTTCCTTAGAGAAACATTGCCTTAATTAGAATCAGACTTCTTTTAAAAACTAACATATACTGTAGTGTTAAAAAATCATTGCTGAAATTGTCGGGTAAGTTTTTTATAAGACTCTAAATGGTTTTGCCTTTTGTTTTCCAGCTGGAAAATTATTTGTTGCACCTCTAATCCTGGTCCTGGGATTAGCACTAGGGGCCATAGCAGTTGTAATTGGTAAGAAACACTTAACATATCTGAGATTAGAATTCTCTGAGTGCCATAGAGAGAGTATGAGTGTAAATGTAATCATGTGAGTCTGTTATTAAGTGGACATACCTGTTCCATGTTTGCTTTAGATAGACAATTAGCATATGATTTACAGATTGAGAGGCTCATGTTTCTTTCATATAAGATGCATTTGTGTGACACTTGCTCAGTCTATGGACACTTTGAACCATGAATCTTATGAAGCATCACTAACCCCTTTTGAATAGCAATATTAATACAACTAGTATTTTAGTGAAAGAGTCCAGTGACCTAGAACTGAGATTTTTCAGTTCTGAGTTCATGTTGGAGCATCAAAGAGAAGAGGCTCTGGTACACCTTTGGGTGTTTGGTTTGTTCTAGTGAAAGAATGCCCTGGGTGGAAAAAGATACCTTTGATGTGATAAGAACATATGCCCAACATATACTTGACAAATAGAAGCTACCGGTGATTTGTATAATTTTATTCACACAAACATATTAGAGCATATTTTTTAAAACCGTGGTTCCTCAGACTCCAGCATGCTTTGTAATAACCTGGAGGACTGTTTAAAGCACAGGTTCTGATCCCTCCCCACAGTTTCTGATTCAGTGTGGAGGCAGGGTCCATGGATTTCTAGTTCTGAAAAGTTCTCAGGTGATGCTGATGCAGAGATCACATGTTGAGAATCATTGCTTTAGAGACTATTAAATACTATAGATATAGTTATCTCTGATGATTGTTTCACAGAGTAGATGGAATATTTTTTCTAAATAAAGTAACTTTTCATATGTAAAGTTCTATTTAGTAAGTAATTTGCATGTGTAGAACCAATAGAATTATAACTAACATTTAAGTTATTACAATGAGTCGGATTTTATGTTGTAGATACTGTTATTATCTACATTTTACAGTGAGGAAATTAAGGCTTCCTGGGCCAGTCATAAGTGGGAGAGCTGGGGATGAAACCTGACATTTGGCTCCACAGCCCTTGTTGTTCAGTAATACGTTATTCTCCCTGAAATTGAAGCATGAATATCATAGTGCGCAAATGGTATAACAAGAGATAATAAAGAAGACTTAAACCTAAGGTTTGATGTTTCGATAGAAAACATTTTTCCATTTTCAAACTGGTATCACTGAAATTGTTGAAGGGGGGAGAGAGCTAAAGAAAAGTAATAAAGAATGAAATCTTGTAGAAGTAAATACACTTTGTAGCGTAGGTGTCTTCCCTCTCTTTGTTTTCATGTGTTGCTAAATTATGATTTCTTGTAAATCATTTGCAAAATAGAAAAATTTCAACTATATAAGCCTAAATGCCTCTCCTCCTAATGAGCTCTTTTTTTTTTTTTAACCCCTAGGTTTATTTGTATTTCCTATCTATTGCCTTTGTAAAAAACAGAGAAAACGATCACGGACAGGTATGCACTGGTGAAATGCAGATGATTTCATCTAACTGAGCTGGCCCGGGCGGGAGCTGCACAGAATGGCACACCCACCGGAGAGTCGTGTCTTTGAAACACACCGAGAGGAACCTTCTGCCATCTCGCGTCCCCTTGGTTCTCTGCAGGTGGCAATGCCGCGAGCTCCATTGCACTCCCCACATGGTGTCCTGTCCTGTCCTGTCCTTAGGCTGATTGCTGCTTTCAAAAAATGGTCACTTTCACACACTATAAACATCTATATCATAATTCTGACCTTCTTCATGGGCCTTGGAAGAAATTATTTTAAATCAGAACCAGTTATCCTCAGAGCTGTCTGAGCATGCCTCTCCCGAGAATCGCTTGGACTGTCTGCACCTGAACCCTCCAGCCCATCTGGGAGATTTGGTGTGAACAGCTGAAGTCCTGCCTGTACCAACAAGCAGGGCCACTTTCAGACGAGAAAGGCTCACCATATGCCCGTTGGCGTCTGTGGCCCAAGCGGTATAATTCCTTCATCCTTCAGATGCTATAATTGTTTAAAATCTCAGTGCCCAAAGGGAACTAATGAAACTAAATCAATGAAAAGAATCATGAGTTACTGAAGTGTATGCGTAGGGGTGTGAATGTGTGTGTATAAATATCTGTATTAAAACTTGACCCAGTAAGTAACCTTGTGCTTGTCAAGTTCCATGCCTCTACACTATTTTTCCACATTTTCATAGATATATTTAAAGATGATGGTTCCTTTGTGGGCATAATTTGGGAATGTACTGAATTAAAGTCGTTATAGACAACAGGCTATTTCGATGTTGACCCTTTCTATTTCTTGCTCTGTCCTTGTCTCTCTCTCTCTCTCTCTCTCTCTCTCTCTCTCTCTCTCTCTCTCTCTCACACACACACACACACACACACAGAGGAATGTGTGCCTTGTCACCCCAAGGATTATCAAACTTTATAAACTGACAAAACTGATTGACTGGTTTTAGGAAATTCTCAAGATCTGAACATTCAGTCTTTTCATATTTCTTCATTTTACGAATAAATTCTTTAGGCAGAATTAGTTAATTAAATAGCAGGTTTGCTCTAGAGAAAACTGCATAAGCCTTTAAACAGATCCCTATTCTGCTAATTTTTTAGACAACTTGTAATTACAGGTAATTCTGCTTTAAGACAAGGTATGGTTTTATTTACTACCCCACCCTCTTATCTCTTTCTCTCTTTTTAATTTTTCCCCAAGTTTTACTGGTTTTGAAGGAATTTTCTTATATTTACTGCTCATATACATAAAAATGTGTTGATATCTGCTTATGGAGGGGTAATTTTAAAATAAAACTTTTGTGTTTGTGGGTTTATCTAAAATATAAACTGCTCTTGGAGAAGGAAACCAAAAAAAAATGAAGGAAATATTTTCAGAAAGTTTTACCAAGCTTAGATGTCTTTAAAAATAAGAAAAGACCAAGTAACTAAATTATTTTATTCCTTTGTTTTCATCACAAAAGTTCATCAGCAGAAAGGAAGTAAAGAACCCCCAAGAAGCCTGAAGTGTTCACGTGTTTCCAAATTCTTAAAATTAGCTATCTGCATAGAGGTAGCATTAATTTAACAGCAACCTTGTGGGAATTGAAATGGATTATGTGCAGAAACATGCATTAACATGAATAGTGTCTTGTTGGACTCCAAAGTATAAGAACATTTATGATTTTTATTTGACCTAAAAAGTCCATGATAATGAGGTTTACTTGCATGGATAAACAAGACAGCGCATTTCCATTCTTTCTGAATGACACTCAGTAGCTATTCTATAGCCTCTGGATTAGACTATTTCCAGTTAGAGGAGGGCGTGCCCTTTATGGTTCTGTAATGGCATATTACTAAAGCATAACATGATACAAGAAAAAGTGATGTGCTTTTGTTTCACAAAATCATGTTTCCATTCATTCATCCATCCATCCATCCATTCATTCGACAAATATTTATTAAGTGCTTGTTTTACATGCTCTAGTATTAAAACCAAGAGAATGAGAATTTCCACTCTAAATCCATGTAATTCTGTCATAAAGTGCTTACTTTTTTGTAAATTTGTTTTTCCCAGACATAGGTGTTAGATAATATGTGAATATGATCATTTTAAATCTAGTGGATATATTTCCCTAGAAACATATGTGTATGTATATTATCCATATATTTATGTATGATATATATGTATACATATATACTATTTCCATAGATGCATATGAATACATATGCCACATACATATATACCAACTGGCTAAATAATATTCTCTCTGGTCTTAGATAATCTATTTTCTTAGGTGATTGTATCTGTTGCCTTTGGCCTACTCAGGGATTTTTATTTCTTTCTTTGAATAACTTATCTTTGGGAGATATTTTTCTATTATTTGGAAATGTTCCAATTTTCCAGTTACAAAGTGGTATCTTTTATCAGTGAAGGCTGTTTTATCCATGCTTGGGCAAGTATGCACTGTGTTGCACAGGATTTCCCATTTTCTATAGCATAGATTTTTTTTTTTATATAATGTATGTGTTTTTCCTCTTTAAAAGTTGTTACAGATTAGGCCTTTTCTTGTTGGTGACTTAAAATAATTATTTGTGATTTTTTTTTTAACTAAGTGGCATTAAGATCTTAAAAAGAGAGAAGGTAATAAAAAGGATTTTTATATGTTAGTGCCAACATTGAAGGTAAAACAATAATAATAACTTTTGGGATGAATTCTAAAAACTACTTTAGAGAAAGAAGCATACACATAAAGTAAATGTCTTTCTATCCAAAGCTTGTCATTTTTATATGTTTTTATTGTAAATTTAATATATACCTTTTTAGAAAAATCAAACCATATAGAATTATAAAATACAAATTTCTCTGCTCAACCCACCCCTTATTTTCTAGGGGTAGCCACTGTTAATAATTTGGTATGTGTCCTTCCAGACACTTTCTACAAATATACAAATAAGTGTTTGTGTGTGTGTGTGTGTATCAGTTTTATACAAATAGAATAATAGCATTCTTACTGTCCTGGACTATTTTTCATTTTATTATGTATTGGTAGACACCTTTCCATAGGAGTTGAAATAGATTTTACCTCATTCTTGTGTACCATACTACATATCCCACTGTGGAGCTGTATTTAATTTATTAGTTAGTTCCCTATTGAAATCAAGATTGTTTTTACTTCTCTAATATAAAGCATCAGTGAAGAACCTTTACATAAACTGTTGTCAGTTTGTGTTAACATTTCCTAAGTTTTTAAATTTGGTTTTTGTAACATGTTTGTAAAAAACCTTAATGCATTTCCTGTGAATGAGATCATAGAGATAGTATATTTCAGATCTTTTTCTTGGAGAAAAAAATGATTATATATCAATGCGTAATTTTTAAAGAAAAGTACCTTTGGCAGGATAGTTTTACTCCTGCTTAGCCAAATAAATATCTTGCCAAAACATATAAAAGAAAATTAATCTTATTCTAATAAAAATGAAATGTAATGAGATGTCTATGCAATGTCCAAGAAAGATGCATTGATATTTGGATGTCCTAGCCGTAAAACTTGAGGGATTTAAGTGAAATAACCAAATTGATCATATTTGTTTCATTTCTTTTTTTTTGTAAACACTATCCATGTTCATGCATGTTGCTGCAACAAAGGAGCTTAATTATGCTGTTGTGAAAAGTAAGAAGCAATATCTTGGCAATTATGAACGGCCACAGTTACCTATAGAAAAAGAATTTAGATTGTGTGTAAGGTTTGGTGGTTTATTGGGATGTTTATAAATTGTGGAACTATGCGAAACCTTCCTTTTACAGTGAATCCCAGCAGTTCCCTAGGAGCCTCTGCATGTGGAGTTGACGAGAGGGGTCAAACCTTTGGGTACAAGCAACACCCTGTTGCCACCACCTTGATCTTCTGATAGGTGCCATTGTATCCTAAAGGTAGAACAGACAGGGAGACAATCAAAGATAATTAAACACCAGTCAGGGTACAACCTGATACCTTTAATTGTACTTTCTCCACAGTGGTATCAGGATTCAGCGGTTCCTGGCAGGAGATCCCCTGTCCTGTCACACCCGCCACATCTTGAGTCCCTAGGCCCCCGCTGAGCCTTTATCTTTCAATCCTACCATCCAAACACCTGGCCCCTGCTGCCCCCCCACCGCCAGCCTCACTTGTCTCTGCTCCTCTGATACTCTAGCTCCTGTTCACTAAAAGACACGAGGAGGGACAGGAGGGGTGAAAACGCCGTGGCACGTGGGAAGCACCAGCGTGCCTTCCTGACCTTTGTCAAATTAGAGAACATCTGCCAAGACATCCATCCCGCTTCTCCCTCGTGAAACAACTGCAGTTGTTTTTAGCGTTAGACTTTTGTGCTGCCTGGTAAATTCATAATTTTTTTTAAAGTTAGTGGCCTAAACATTACTAATTGGTATCCTTCATTAAATACTTCAAAATTAAAAATAAAATTATGCCAAAAGCCATTTTAGATTTTAATTTTCTAAGTAAGCTGCCCATATGCCTTAATGTGAGTCTTCCCATTGGATTGTTTGCTTACCCTTTCATATTTGTAGCTGAAATCTATCCCAACTATGGAAAGTAATTTTTTCCTATGGTCAGCTTTATTGTTTTTGTGTTCATATCTATTATTAATATAGCCTTAAAATTCATTAATGCACTTTAAAATATTTGTGCCATTTAAGAAATTTGACAGAATTAAAGAAACTGATTACATTTATTTGAAGGAGGCAGTAGAATAATATGTTAGCAAATATGTGTCACTTCTTTAAATTTGGGGCACAATCTGAAGGTGAACATTTAAAATAAGTAAAATATACCTGAAAAAACTGTAGCCGAGTTTCTGAAATTAGAGTAATCCTAAAAATTGGTATCAGGAGCTCAAACATAGCAAGTAATTAATAAATGTTACCTAAAAACCATGTTGGAATGTTTGTTTAAAATATCAAGTTAATTTCAACTGCAAGTTTTAATGCCTTTTCGTATTTCATGAAATCTATAAAAGACATTCCACTGACTAGAAACAAAAGTAAATGAAAACTATCACCAATAGCCAGTTTGATAGTATTTGTTTTTCAAATCTTCATAACTTAATTACGACATTTTCCTACTATGGAAAATAAGTCCCAAAATCCCCTTTTTAATATGTATAACCACAATTATCACATTAATAAAATTGAAATAATTTTATAGAATCATTACGATACAGTCTGAACAAAAGCAGAGGCTCAAAAGTTGGGGACTGTTGAAGACTGTGAAATGTTACCTTTTGGGTGCAAACCAGTGATGCAAACCTTTAAAAGAGAAATGCAGTGGAACTCTTTGTGACTGTGGTTTTAAGGATAGAATAATACTCATTTCACAGCTAACAGTGTGTAGGACTTCCATTGTGTGTCACTGTTGTGAGGCTGGAAGTGTAGTGGACATTATCCAAATCCAAGAAGCAGAGAGTCACAGCAGTGTGGGACTTGTGATTATCCATTTGGCGCATTAGCTGAGGCCCTCAGATACCACATACATAGTGCCAATTTTAGAAGCATGTAATTGTGCCTGTGACAAACTATATTCTTTTTTTTTTTTGGCTATAGAAGTTACTGTGTTTAGAATAACAAAATGGACATAACAGGCAATAAATTATTATTTTTTAAAAAACGCAAAAGATTGCCACTGCTTTTTCCCACTTCCTTTTAGCTTATAAAAGAAATTTCATTAGGTATGCTTAACTCCACATCACCTAGATATACAGACTTATTACCATGGAAACTTTTTTTTTTT